CCGGCCGCAGAGCCGTGCCGGGCTCGCTCCGCGCCGTGATGCTTTAGTGGCGCTCTGGAGTTGAGAGACCGAGGGTTTCCGGGGCAGGAAGGGACAGAAAAAATATCCAGTGGTTCAGAAACAACGGGGCGGAGTTGTTGTGATTGTGTTGCTAGTAGTAAAACACGGATTTCCTTAAAAAAAACCCCACGACCAAACCCCCAGACTGTTTTACTGTTAGCTTTTCTGCTGCTCTGCTTAGCCTCTTCCTCCCCAAACTCACAGGTGTTCCAGCTATAATGGTGATTTGTTTCAGAAGATACCCAGGCGGGTTAGGAAAGCAAAGGAGTCGGGAGTGTTAAAAACCTAGAAAGCTTTTCCTCGTTGGATACCGCTGGTTTGCTCCTGCAATCAGCTTACAATTGTGGGAGGGATTCTCAGCGAGCAGGTTCACAGTCCCTTGCTGGAGCCTCACGGGCAAAGTCCTCGGGGCCCCACCAGGAACTAGAGGCTTTAGTGCCTGTGGTCACAGGCTAAGGAGGTAGCAGGAGTTTGCTCCTGTGGTGACAAACTCAGCTTGCTGGTTTCTCCCAGGTGCTGGACTGCCCAAGCATGGCCACCCAGATGTTCGAGGGGAAAGGGCATGCGGCTGTCTACCAGAAATACAGGTTTGCGCCGGGCAAAGAGCTGCAGCAAACCATCCTCACCTACCTGCAGGAAAAGGTGAGTGGGGTATGGCCAGGCTGAAGGAAAATTCAAGGGAATATTTATTTGTGGGTGGTTGTATTTACTTTGCTGGGAGGGTTACCTTGGTTGGTACCACGGGGAGGGATAAATCAGCAGGGCTGAAGGCAAGATGGGGGCACAGAAGAGGCTTTCCATTGGTTCTGCCACGCCAAAGGCCATTCCTGAGCAGCTGCTGGGGGAAACAATGGGGTAAAAGTATGTAAATTGAGTGACTGCCCACTGAGATGTATCACTCCTCCCTGCAGAAGGCAATCCCTGCTGAGCTGGTAGTGGATGTTGGCTGTGGGTCTGGACAAGGCACCCTCTTCCTTACGGAGCACTTCAAGAAGGTGGTAGGGACAGACATCAGTGAAGCACAGATCCAGGAGGCCAGGGACACCTCCTCCACACCCAATGTCTCCTATCTGTGAGTGTCAAGGGGACAAGCTCAGCCAAAGGCAAAATTCGGGTCCTGACATGGAGGTGGTGTTTTGTGAGTGTGATTGCTATAAGAACCAGCAGGCACCAAAGAAAATGACAGAATTCCTGAGGTGAACAGGTGTTATCCTAGCCTTCCCTTAGCCATGGTCTTGCATCCCACATGGTCCTCATTGACTCAGAAAAAACACCCACCGATTTAATATCCTACTCTCCAATTCCCATATCACACATGGATTTATGCTTTCACCCTTCCAGCGTGTGCCCTGCAGAGGAGCTGCCGTTCCAGGACACCTCGGTGGACGTCCTGACTTCATTTACAGCTGCACACTGGTTTGATATAGAGAAGTTCATGAGAGAAGCAAACCGGGTGCTTAAGCCAGGTGGCTGTGTGGCCATCAGCACCTACACTGTGGACATGAGCCTGCGCTATGGAAACTGCTCTGAAAAGCTGACCAAAATCTTCAGGGAGGTGATGAAACCTAAACCTTGGGGCTTCTCCTCCTGGTTTAGGCAGGGGAAAATATGTAGTACTTGGATGCAGAGAGAAAAGCAATGGGATTGAGGGGGTATGACTAGAGGAATCCTAATGAAGGATGGGACAGAGGGATAGGTAAATACAAGGACAAAGCTGGGATGGGGCTTAGAGGAGGCTCCTATGCAGTGCTGGGGCTGGCTGAGTGATGAGGTGAAGGACATGAGGGTTGATAGGGCTGGCTCTGGTAGGGTGAGATGGGTGCCAGAGCAGATTTGGATGCTGGTATTGTCAGAAGCTTCTGTTGCCCTGATCACACTAAAAAGAATGGGAATTATAAACTGTTTGGGAAAAGTCTTTTTTTTTCAGTACGCTTTCTTGACAAAGTCTTGATAAAAAGAGCATTTCCACAATGAGTAAGAGCACTATGGGGAGGAGGAGAGGACCCTTATCTCTCTAATAACATAGGTTCCTTAAATTCTTGACACTAAGCAAGATTTTGGTGCATTTTAGAGGTGTCTTTTATAAAAAAAAAAAATTATGTGCAAATTGAGAACTTCAAGTTGTTTTGTGTTTGTTTGTTTTTCATACATTGTCTTTACAGTGCTGGGACCTGATTTTAAAATACTCACATAATAGACTAAAATTCGTCTTGGAAGACTACAAAGCGATCTTCGAGGCCTTGCCATTCCCAGACAAGAAGAGGTGAGCAGAACCCCCTCAGTGCAGCACCAGGAGCAGATAGAGGTAGCATCTCTACTCCTGCATGGGGCTGCTCTGCCCCCAGCCCAGCAGGCACCCAAGGAAGTGGGGTTTGCCAGAGCAGGTAGCTGCTGGGGTTCAGCAAACACATGTGCATCAAGGCAGAGCTGTGTGGCTGCATTCCCACTGCCTTTGGATTTAATGGTGCTCTGTGCTGGGACAGCAGGCACAGTCTGAGGGCTGGAGGGCCTTTCCTGCTCAGGGCAGGATTGGATTAGATTTTTTTAGCTGGTGATTTATGATAATTTGAGGCTTCTGGACAGATCACTTATGGATGAAGGGAAAAATAGAGTGAGGCAAAGATGCCACAAACCTCTGGGGAGCCAGTGCCTGCCTCCCCACCAAGGCACAGGGCAGGGACTGACTTCACAGGCAAAAAACCAATGCGGTGGTGGTGGTGGTGCGGAGGTGTTGGTGTCCCAGCTGCTGGAGGGGAAGGGACTGTTAAAGTCAGACTGTGAGATGGTCCTTGGGACCATCTCTTCTTCTCCAGTAGTGTATCAGTTGGAGCTCCTGACCCACCACATGCCACAATCGGATGTTGTTTCTATCTGTTGGACCCTTAGTGGTGTCAAATATTTTATTCACCACCATGTCAATCTTTTGTCCTTGTTCTCACACCTTTGAGATTTAACTTGTCAATGCTCCTTTCATCCCCATCTCTTCTAGAATCACTGATATCTTTGACAAAATTCCCATGACTGTTGAGGGTGTGATTGGTTACATGGAGTCTGCCTCTCCATATCAAACCTTTATGAAGAATGACCCTGAAGCTGCAAAATCCCTCCTCCAAGAGACTGAAAAGAGGTGAGCTGTGCAGGGATGTGCTCCCTCTTTCCACTTTACTTGTGAAACTTAAACAGCAGATCATAAGCTGCTCACAGCACGACTGACCTCAGCTGGAGTCAGCTGACTTAAATCTTAAGTTCGTGTAGCTGTATGTTGTGCTTGCACTGATATATTCATGAACATCTGATGTTGGAGGTATCTTGAGTTTTTGTCTTGTTCTTGATTAGCAGAGGGCATGAAAAATATTGGTGGTTGCATCTTCACCAGTCTGTTTCGGCCCCCAACAAGGGCCTGCTGGGAAGGGAAGGCAACCCTGTACCTGCTAATGTATTCACTGACCAGAACAACCCTTGTGCAGCAGTAGGAAGCATCTGCCAACTCTGTGCTGTGGGTGGAAGAGAACTGTCTGTGGTTGTGGGTGTTGCCCTGCAGCAGGTGGGAGCTGGCTGGGCAGGGCAAGACCCTTCCTCTGCTTCTTGTTTCAGGATGCTGGAGGTGATGGGAGTTTCTTCTCGTGAAACCCCAGTGGAGTTCTGGGTGAGGCATGTCTGTGTGCTGGGCTGCAAGGGACAGTGAGAGAGGAAACCCTTCTCCTGGTCTGGTGCTAGAACGGAAGGAAGAAGTGGGTTGTCTGCTAATACCCGACTTATAACTGCTTTTATTCCTGGGGAAGACTGATGCTGATTTCAGTGATTAAAATTTTGGTCTCTGTGGAAAGCAGACAGGTTTATGCCTGCTCTCAGGTTCCTGTCCACTTTGGCCCTGCAGTCTGCCCAGTGCTGCCCCCCCAGCACAGGAAGGGTCCCATTTCAAGCTGGTGGTGGTTGGATTACACATGGGGAAGATAATCACAGTAACAGTTAAACTTGCTGCATTTCTTATACAATTTTCAATAATTAAAGCTGAGAAAAAGTTGCCTGTGGTTCCTCATTTTAAGGGAGGCTGTGGAGCATCTGCTGGGGTGGGAATAACTGTGCTTCATGGTCAGTGAGTGTCCTGGGGCCCTGAGTGGCCTTCTGATCTGTGGTAGAGATGGACTTCGGGTTGGAAGGGCCATTTGCCCTTTTTCCTGCCCAGGCTATAGGCTAGGAGCTGTGTGCCATCTTTGAAAGCTGACCTGAAACGAGGTTGTTCTTGCCCCCAAGGTGCCCCCATCCTTGGTGCTTTGCGGGCTCATGCAGGTGTACCAGCAGTTTACCTCCCTCAGGATTGCTTTGGCCCTGGTGAGCTCCCTTGCCCTCAGCACAGCTTGGGAACCTTTCTGGGATCACTGCCGCAGGGGAGCAGGTTTGTGCTCCCCTTGGTCCCAGCCTGCAATCACCTACCCACGCTGAAAAGGGAAGATTAGAGGCTGTGTTTCAGGGAGTGGCACAGCCCAGCACAGTCCCCTCCTGTTTGCCTTCTGGATATTTCAAGTCTAGGCACAGCCTCTGCAGGGACCTTTCCTTTTCCTGTAATTTCTGCCCATGGCAAGAAGGCTGCCCCAGCGCCACAGGGAGGGCTGTGTCCTCACTCTGTTCTACCTTGGAGCATTGTTAAGAAAGGTAGAAGTGATGCCTCTCCTCCCTGCCCCAGAGAGTGCACCTGGAGGGGGCTGGAGGAGCTTCAGCTGTGGTCCTGGACTCTTGGGTATGGTCCTAGCTGAGCCCCCTCAACCTGGCAAAGGTGCTTGACCCTGGGCATACCTCCACTGGGGTCACTGAGAGCTGGCTCAGCCTGTGCAGGGTGGGGATCAAAGGCTTTGCCCCCACTTGGTGGCCCCCAGGAGGACAGCTATAAGATGGGAGGCCCATCATGGATGTGAGGCTGGTCTGTGTCCATGGCTATGTGTTGGAGAAGACCTCCTTGAGCTGTGATGCTGGAGCAATCCCTGCTGTCGTCACTGGTGGAGAGTTGGGTTTGGGCCAGCAGCAGCCATCTCTTGCTGGGTGATGATGGGGCTGATGGCTTGTCACCTCCTGAGGGAGCACTAGAGGTCTCTTCTGCCTGGGATAGCACTGGATGACACTGCTACTGAGGTGCTGGTAGCTTCCCCAGCTAGCCCTGGTGCCTGAGCTGGGGAAGCCCCAGCTTCTGCTGGCAGGGCCTGTCCTATTGAGGTGCATCCCCACAGCCATGCCAGGGCAGGGAGGGATCTCCCTGGAGAGGACACCCCATGTCCCTACAGTGCTGACACAAAGACTCTGGGGAAAAAGCATTTGGGTTTTTTTCTTCACTTTACTTACACGTTTGTTTAAATCTGCTCAGTAATTACCTCTGATTTACAGCCCTTCCCTCCCTGCATCATCAGAATGCTCAGCGTGTTCCCTAAGATCATAGAGCAGGCAACCAGCTGTGATGTAATATGTGATTGCATCATCAGTGTGCTCTGGTTTGGTGTGGGCAGCATGAGGCATGTGGAGTGGCATAAACCATCGCAGTGGCTGCTGCAGCTCACATGTGCCAAGAGGTGCTGAAGGGTTCTGGGGTGTGTAGCAGGGCCAGTGGTGCTTTGGTGGCACTGATACCCCAGGTGGGCTGGGACAGGTCTGGTGATGGCTGCCAAGCAGAGGCCACGTGATGTGCCCTGTCCTGGCACCTTTGGGCCATGGGCAGTGCTGCCACACGTCACTCAGGGCCTTCTATTTTAAAGCTGGCTCTTTTTGAGAACACTTTTTGTCCTCTCTATCTTCTTTTCCCAGACCAGTGACTGTAGCAGGAGCCACTTCCTCCCAGATGAGCCTCCTGTCTGTGCTTATACCCACTCCAGTGGCATGGCTTGTGGTAAAGGCTTTCCCACACTTGTGCCATGCAGTAGTCAATGAGTCATCACAGAGTAATTGCCTCACCCTGTCCTCAGCCGTGTTTCACTTTCCTTCTTGCACCTGGAACTTCCAACGCACCTGGCATTTCTTGCTCCGAGCAAGCTCAAGTGGCACTAGTGGGCTGGGCTGTGTGAATCTGAGGACAGGGTTCCACCATCACCATCTGTGCTGCTGTCCTGGCACTGCAATACACATGGCAATGCCCAGGATGGCAAGACCCCATCCCATTAGGAAAATACCCTCACTGCTGCCCAGCCAGGCACCCATGGGTTCAGCTCTGGCTGCGGGTGAGTACAGCAAAAACATCTGAGCAAGACACCCAGGAGAGATCCTCATCTCTCCATCCCAGCCACCCTGAGTGTCGGAGGTGCTGCTCGCATGGCCTGGCCTTGCCACTCACCTTTCGTTTTTCTTTGGTGCCTCTGAATTTCCTTTTACATGTGTGAAGAGATGGTTTCGCTTTACTTCTCCAAACAGAAATGGCACCTGGGAGATAAAAGCCACAGCGGTGGGAAACAGGAGCCAAAGCTGGGTCCCACGGAGATGTGATGTGGCTCTGTGACCTGAGAGGTGACCACAGAGTGTCTCGGCAGGGATCTGTGGCGTGGGACAGCACTTCAGAGTGGATTGTCCCTCTCTCACTGGGGCCACGTTTATATCTGTTGGGATTTTCTGATAAGGGGCTGTCCATTCCAGCTGAGCTGTGCCTTGCTTGGGTAACATACATGAAGTTAGTTACGCTGGTTTGAGCTTTTATTTCATAACTGTATTGATCGTGAACTTTGCTGCATTGAATAAAAACAATTCTTCTGAGTCTGTGGGTTTCTTTAATGGGAGAGAAAGGAAAGACAGAGTTGTCCTGTTCACCAAGAGGGCAGGTAAAGGATCTGAGCCCTAGGGCTTGGGCTTTTAATTACTGACCTCACCCAACCTGCCACCATGAGGAGGGCTGACATGGGAGCCTGGGCAGCAGCCTGGTCCAGCAGCTGTGATGGCAAACCCTGTGCCCAGCAGGCTATGGGGCTTTGGCTTCTCCAAGCTGTATCTGTGTCCAGTTTGGTCAAAGTGGTAATAGTTGCTGTCCAATCCATTCTGCCCCCTCCTCTTCATCTCCACTGTGGTTTTCAGGAAAGATCTGAACTCTCTGAGATGCTGCTGGAGCAGGAGAATGGCTCAAGAAAGGCTGGATTTACCTTATGAGTCAACAACTAGTCCTACTCATCCTCTTCAGTAAAGATCTGGACCCTTAAGACAGAGGGTACCTGCAGCGCGCCAAGTTCAGTGATGACACCAAATTGGGAGAAGTGGATGACAGAGCAGGGGGTCATGCTGCCATCCACAAGGACCTCAACAGGAAGGAGAAATGGGCTGATAGGAACCAGGACCCTCCTGAAGTTCAGCAAGGGGAAGGATGAAGTCCTTCCCCTGAGGAGGAACAGCCCCAGGCAGCAGGATGTGCTGGGGCTGCCCAGATAGAAAGCAGTGTGGCAGTAAAGGACCTGGGGGTCTCCTGGTGGGCACCAGGTTGAACATGAACCAGAAATGTTCATTGCAGCAAAGAAGGTGAATGGAATCCAAGGCTACATTGGAAAGGGTGTTCCCAGCAGGCTGGGGGAGGTGATCCTTCCCCTCAGCTCTGGTGAGGCCACTCATAGAGTGCTGGGCCTGGTTTTGGGCTCTCCAGTGCAAGAGAGATGTGGGATAGACATACATTGGAGGAGTTGAATTAAGGCCATGAAGATGATGAAGGCACTGGAGCATCTCTCCTATGAGGAAAGGCTGAGAGAGGAGGCTCAGGGGCTCTTGGTGGTTT